ATCCTACTTCCGTAGTGATACTGCCTCGGAAACCCAAGGAGGGGTCGCTATGAGTCAGGGCTGACTCGACGGCACATAACAACAAGTCTAAACTTCATATGAAAATGTAGAAATGTGAGCATAATTCGGATTTCTATACACAAAATAAGGAAATGAATTTCTGAAAGGGTTTATCAGAGATTTCACAGGTTCTCAGGTTTGGTGTTCTTTTGGTTGTGTGTGAAGAAAATGCTTTATGATGTACTTAAGAATACTCAGGAATGAGTGTCTGATGATGAGAAATGTTTTCTTTTTTCTGTCTTTTCAAAGAGAAGTCTGGTGCCATTAATAAAATCATGTTTCATCTAACAATTATTTCAAAGAACTTCTAAAATATAATCCATTGTTAGTAACTGTTTATATATATAATTTTTATTGTGATTTGGATGAAAGTTTACAGAGCAAATCCACTTTCCATACAGCAGTTCACATTCACTTTGTCTCATGACATTGACTACAATTTACCACAATGCAACAGTTCCCCTCCCATTTCTTCCCCATAGTTAACTCTTCCCTGTGTCCTTCCCTCTCATTCACTCCTGCCCTCAAGCTGTCTCCCTGTGTACACACAGCTCTTCTATTCTCCCATGATTGATTTCTCCAAGGAGTTATCTACTTAATGTAAATGTTCTAACTGTTCATCTTTTAATTAAGTCTTTAAAATGTTAACAAGAAAGAATTATATAACAGGAAATATTTAAGAATTTAAATATTTAAATTTAAAGAATTATTTTACAAGATAACACAGCCATAAGTGTTACCATCATGAGAGAAAATCTGCTCATCAACTCTTTTAGTAACTAAATCTTTAACTAGGTCCTAAGCTAAATAAAGTAAAATTAGCTGAACATAGAACTGACAAATCTCATTTTTAAAAAAAAAACATATAGCTACAGTATATATACTTCAATAAACAGTAGCTGGACTGAATGCTTACTCTGCAAATATTATTTAAATATTTTGAACTAGTGCAGTTTTTACTATAACTTACTTAAAAGTTTAATGTGTGATCAAGACAGGGCTTGCTAAACTTATCAAACAAGATAAGGTTTAATGTGCACTGTTGTTGTTTGTTCATCAAGTCAGACCCGACCCATAGCAACCCCTCCTTGGGTTTCTGAGGCAGTATCACTACCTAAGTATATTGCCCAACCTTCCTTCCGAGGAGCGGCTGATGGGTTTGAACTGCCAGCCTTCTGGTTAGCAGTCAAATGTCTTAGGTACTATGCTACCAGAGCTCCTTAATGTGCACTATTATTAGGAAAATAACAGGAATCATTCCGTTTGTGAAGTCTTGCCTCTTCTCCACTTCTAAACACTGGTCACCATCTCATATACACAGACAATATTTACAACATATTAGGGACAAAATTAGTTTAACCAATGATATTGACATGGATATCTACACAGAAAAGAGGTATTTTCTGAGCATAGAAAAAAATGAAGTAAAAATACTACAATATGTGAATTGACTCTGAATGATGAGCTTAGGCTTAATTTTTTTCCTTTTGTTTTGCTTTATGGTTTATCTCTCTTGATATAATGTGTTACTTTTTAAATTAAAGAAATCTTATTTAAAGGGCAAACTTGACACAGAGGAATGAACTCAACACCAGTTGTCACTGAGTGGATGCCAACTCATGTCGACCCATGTGTGTCAGAGTAGAACTGTGCTCCACTGGGTTTTCAATGACTGATTTTTCCCAAGTAGAACACTAGACTTGCCTCCCAAGGCACTTCTGGGTGGAGTCGAACTGCCTTCAGTTGGCAGCCAAGTGGGTTAACCATTTGTACCACTACTGTTAGCAATCTAGAATCCCCTACTAGCAAAGGAATGAACTAGACTTTGTTTCTTATTCAGCTACAAGGAGTGTCCATTTTAAGGGGAGACAGGAGACTATCTTTGTGAGAACAGTGTTTTGTTGAAAATTTAACTATATGTCTAGACTATGAAGATGGCATGTTCATCCCAGGCTTGGGTTCACTCTTTATCTCTCATTCATGGGCAATAAATACCGAAATGCATTCACTCACTGAACAAATATTTACTGAACAATTTCTATGTTACAAGCAAGGAAACAACTTCTAAAGGACACCATTAGTGTTGACAATAGGGGAAAAAAAAGAAGTCTTTAGAACAAAGTGGCTTATAATTCCTTGTGCAGAAAGCTTTTCCACAAAAGAAACATTAAATTATAAAGTTTTAGAGGGTAGAGACAGTATCTCTACATTAATTATTGCCATGCCGTGTACCAAGTAAATACATGATATACAATAAAAAGGAAAAAAAAGGTAATATATCAAAGATTTACCTGGCACATTCACGGATTCCTATACATATGTATGTTTTTAGAGCCAGTAATGTTTTAATCAATGACTTGGATGATGAAATTAACAATAAATTTTCAAAACATGAAAAACTAGTGAGGATCTTTAAAACCAGAAAAAATATTTAATAGAATCTTTAAGCCTAAAATATCTATGAAAATCAAAAAGAAGGAAACAAAGGAGGGAGGAAGAAAACAATGTAAGAAAGTAGGAAAAGGAAAGGAACAAAGAAAAGAAGGAAGAAGCTTGATTATAGAAGAGAATATATCACTGTGGTAGGCAGTGTGGCTCCTTAAAGATGTCCATGAGGGTGGTGCAGGACCAGGCAGGGTTTTGCTCTATTTTATATAGGGTTGCTATGAGTTACAATTGACTCGACAGTCCCTACACCACCATCACCGACAACAAAAGATGTCTTTGTCCAGGTAGACAAACATCCTATATAAAGTTAGGGTCTAAGAAAGGTTATACTCAAAGAGTAGGCTAACTAGGGGGAAAAAAAATAATAACCAGACAGCAAAGTAAATCGTCTTTACTACTGTTGTTGTTAGCTGCCATTGAGTCAGCTCCTGACTCATGACGACCCCATACACAATGGAAGGGAACACTGCCTAGAACTGAACCACTCAAACAATAGGTTGCAGAGCAGACTGTTATAACCCACAGGGTTTTCACTGGCTTATTTTTAGAAGTCAATTGTCAGGCTTTTTTTCCTACTCTTTCTTGGAAGCTCCACTGAAACCTATTCAGTACAATAGTAACATGTAAGCCTCCACTGATGGTGGTGTTTAAACACACACACACACCCAAACAAACAAAACAAGTAAATAAAACTTTAACTTTAAAGTCTATGTTGGTGCGATCCTCAGCCTATATGACAATAAGTTCAGAAGAAGTAGATGGTGCCCAAGCTATGACTGTCAACCATTAGGAGCAGAATCTATGTAGGAGATCCTCAATAGAGTAGAAGAACAATGTGGAACAAAAGTCAAAATCATTTTTTGAAAAAAAAAAGGGATCTGGTTTTCTGGTCTGATAGAGCCTAGTGTAACCAATGAGACTATGGTCCTTAGCTGCCCTTCAGGTCTGGAATTGAAGCCACTCCCGTGGCTTCCAGCCAAACAAAAGACAGGCATATGAGCTGAACATTTATTTACATTAGATAGATACACTCCTTGGAGAAATCAATCATGGGAGAATAGAAGGGCTGTGTATGCACGGGGAGACAGCTCGGGGGGCAGGAGTGCAAGGGAGGGAAGGACACAGGGAAGAGGTGGTTATGGGGAGGAAGTAGGAGGACAGCTGTTGCATTGTGGGAGATTATAGTCAATGTCATGAGACAAAGAGTATGTGAACTGCTGTATGGAAGATGAATTTGCTCTGTACACTTTCACCGAAAGCACAATTAAAACAAACAAACAAAACTATGTTGGTACGACAACTGTGGCCCTAAAAACTATATCCTGAAAATGATAATTTAAAGTTACCTGGTAATGCAGTTATCCAAAAGCATGTCATAAGAAAAATAACAACAAACTACAAATCCTCCCTGCAAGAGAATACCCACAACCAAAAAAATCTTCACAAAGGCATTCTAACAAAATATATACTTACAATGCAAAATTACTGAATATAAAAAAAAAATATGCCACCACATGTGAGAACCAACAGAAATAAACACTAGAATCAGGTCTGTAGATCTCAGTTATTGCAGTGATTAGGTATGGAAGACAAAGTAAGTTTAAATACAAATATAAAAGCTGAATTTGAAAGGATTATTTAAGACAAAGAGACTACCATGATTAGGCTGGTGAGAAAAAGAAACAAACAACTTCTAGAAGTGAAAAGTGTAACCTCTGAAATTTATTATCAGATTAGATGTAGTGACAGCACAAATAAAGAAGATAACTATGGAAGATAATTATGAAGAAATTATAGAGAATGCAGTATGGAGAGAAAAAACATAGCAAATTATTATTAAATAGTATATATTAATTTCATTAATATCAATAAATATTATTAAATATGGAAAATTATTATTAAAAAGAGGTTTAAAGACATGGAGGAGAATAATATCAAACAAATGCTCTAAAAAGTAGTAATAGGGAAAAATGGGAAAGAGATAATATTTATAGAAATAATAGATGTACATTTTAAAGAATTAAGGAAAGAAAACAATCCTCATGTTTTGAAGCTCAATAAACTCCATGATATAAAGTAGAAATGAAGAGATACTCTGTAGGAAAACGGTAATATACCAAAGGGAAAGAAGAGCTTAAAACACCAAGAAAGAAAACAGATCATCTACAAATAAATAATAGATTCAGACCTGACTTTTTAATTGCAACAACAGAAGCTAGTGGAATGATATGATAATTTGCTAAGAATAAATAACTGTTGATCTAAACTTATACACTCAGTAAGATTGTCTTTCAGTATCAAGGGCAATATAAAGACATTTTTAGGGAGAATTTTTTTTTTTTTAATTTATCATAAAACCTTTTCACTCAAGGGTATATTTTGTGGGAATGAAGTCTAGGGAAGGGTAAGATTAAAAAGCAGATTACTGAATAAAAGAAAAGCATGTATTTTAAAAGTTGAATTTGTGGGATTCAAAAAGAGACAGAAAACATTTTTGCAAAAAGTTGTGACAGTTTTAAATCATTCTAAGATCATTTACTCATCTGTCAGTTTGTCATACTGTGGTGGCTTTTGGGTTGCTGTGAGGCTGGAGGCGATGCCACTGGTATTTCAAATACCAGCAGGGTCACCCACAGTGGACAAATTTCAGTGGAGCTTATAAAATAGTAAGATAGACTAAGAAGAAGGCAAGGGCCATCTACTTCTCAAAGAACTGGCCAGTGAAAACCTTATAAGTATCAGTGAAACAGTGTCTGATGTATTACCGGAAAACTTTATGAACAGCCCTGAAACATTGTCCAATATACTGCTGGAAGATGAGCCCCTGAGGTAGGAAGGCACTCAAAATATGACTGGGAAGAGCTGCCTACTCAAAGTACTGTCAACCTTAAAGACGTGGATGGAGTAAAACTTTTAGGAACCTTCATTTGCTGATGAGGCATGATTCAAAATGGGAAGAAACAGCTGCAAACATCTATTAATAATTGGAACATGGAATTATGAAATATGAATCTAGGAAAATTATAAATTGTGAAAAATAAAACGGAAGGCATAAAGATCAATATCCTAGGCATTAGTGAGCTGAAATGCACTGGTTTTAGCTGTTTTGAATCAGACAATCATATGATCTACTATGCCTGGAATGATCAAATTGAAGAGGAATGGTGTTGCATTCATCCTCAGAAATAATGTTTCAAGATCTATCCTGAAGTGACATTCTAACACTGTCAGTGACAAAATAATATCCATAGACCTACAAGGAAAACCAGATAATACTGTTGTTGTTGTTAGGTGCCATCAAATCATCTCTGACTCACAGCAAGCCCATGCACAGCAGGGCGAAACACTGCCTGGTCTTACGCCAACTCCGCGATCCTTGCTATACTTGAGCTCATTGCCGCAGGCACCTTGTCAATCCATCTCGTTGAAGGCCTTCCCCTCTTTTGTTAACCCTCCACCTTACCAAGCATGACATCCTTCTCCAGGGAATGGTCTCTTCTGATAACATGACCAAAGTAGGTGAGACAAAGTCTGGCCATTCTCACTTTCAAGAAGCATTCCAGCTGCACTTCCTCTAGGACAGATCTGTTAGTTCTTTTTCCATGGTACTTTCAGCATTCTTTGCCAGCAGCAAACTCAAAAGCATCAACTCATCTTTGGCCTTCTTTATTCATTGTCCAGCTCTCACATGAATATGAGGTGATTGAAAATATCATGGCTTGGGTCAGGCAAACCTTAGTCCTCAAAGAGACATCTCTGCTCCTCAGCACTTGAAAGAGGTCTTTTGCAGATGACTTGCCCAGTGCTATACATTGTCTGATGTCCTGACTGCTGCTTTCACTAGGGTAGATTCTAGAACCAAGCAATGTGAAGTCTTTGGCAACTTCAATCCTTTCCCCATTGATTATGATGCTGCCTACAGGCCTAATTGTGAGGCTCTTTGTTTCTTTATCACATGACAGAATTTTGCAAGACCAATGACTTATTTACTGCAATACCTTTTTTCGATAGCATAAATGGTGGCTATACATGTAGACCTCACCAGATGGAACACACAGGAATCTGACTGACCTCATCTGTGGAAAGAGGCAATGGGAAACTCAGTATGTTCAGCCAAAACAAGACCAGGAGCTGACTGTAGAACAAACCATTAATTTATGTGCAAATTCAAGTTGAAGCTGAAGACAATTAAAACAGGTCCATCAGAGTCAAAATATGACCTTGATTATATACCCTTTGAATTTAGAGACCATCTAGAGAACATCTGACTTACTGAACACCAATGACTGAAAACCAGATGAACTGTGGGATGCCATCAAGAACATCATAAGTGAAGAATCCAAAAGATCATTAAAAAGACAGGAAAGGAAGTAAAGACACAAATGGATGTCAGAAGTGACTTTTAAACTTGATCTTGAACAGAGAGCAGCTAAAGCAAATGGAAGAAATGACAAGATAAAAGAGCAGAACAGAAGATTTCACAGAGCAGCTCCAGAAGATAAAGTAAATTATTATAATAAAATGTGCAAAGACCTGGAGTTAGAAAACCAAAAAAGGAAGAACACACTCAGCATTTCTCAAGCTGAAAGAACTGAAGAAAAAATTCAAGCCTCAAGTTGCAATACTGCAAGATTCTGTAAGCAAAATATTGAATGATTCAGGAAGCCTCAAAAGGAGATGGAAAGAATACACAGAGTAACTGTACAAAAAAGAAGTGTTCAAAGTTCATCTATTCCAGAAGGTAGCATATGATTAAGAACCAATGGTACTGAAGGAAGAAGTCAAAGCTGCATGAAAGGAATGGGTGAAAAACAAGGCTCCAGGAACTGACATGACACCCAATGAGATATTTCAACAAATGGATGCCATACTGGAGGCACTTACTTGTCTACACCAAGAAATGTGGAAGACAGCTACCTGGCCAACTGACTGAAAGAGATCCATATTTGTATCCATTCCAAAGAAAGGTGATTCAATAGGTGAAAATTACTGAACAGTATCATTAATACAACATGCAAGTAAAATTTTGCTGAAGATAAATTCACAAACAGTTGCAGCAGTATATCAATAGGGAACTTCCAGAAATGCAAGCCGAATTCAGAAGAGCATGTGGAACAAGGGATAACATTGCTGATGTCAGAAGGATCTTGGCTCAAAGCAAAGAATGCCAGTGTTCTGGTTACCCAGTGCCACTCTGACAGGAATATACCATAAATGGGATGGCCTTAACAAACAGGAGTTTATTCTTTTAGAGTTTGGAGGCTTTAAGTCCAAGTTCAAAGTGCCAGGCTCTAAGGGCTAGATGAAAGCCCCTCAACTTTGCGGTCCATCTCTGCCTCATGCTCCTGGCCCACTGGAGCTAGGAGTATTTCTTCACTCAGACAGCTGCTGGCTGCTGAGGCTGACAAGCCCAAGGTTGACAAGTAAAAAGACACAGTCCCAATGTTATCAAACCACACAGTAGGCCATTAATTTAAGTCCATGTTAAGTCCCAAGGTCGGCAGAGCATGGCAGGCTGCTGAAATACAACATGGCTACATGCAGGGTCCAAGTGTGCCATAAGCTAGAGACCACTGCCCAAGGCTTCTGCTTAAATACAGGAAGCAGACGGCTTTTCCTAAGGCAGCTACTCAGCTGCTCATAGTGGATTCCACAGTGGAGTTGATTACCAGTCTCATCATGGGGATTACTACAACCAGCTGCCCAGCCACTCAACCAGGCCTAGTCAAGTTGACACACAAACTGAACTACCACAATTCCATCCCTTGTCAACTTGGCATCTGTACAGATCTCTCTCACTGGATGGCTCCAATCCTCTAGTTCCTCTAAGTGGCAACTTCACTCCTTTGGCCTGGCAGGCCCTGTTGCTCTCCCTCTTGGGCATGGTAGCCTCAACCCCTCACTCTTGGGCAGCGCCTAGGGCTCCATCCCACTGGCTCACATGAACGAGCAGCCCATACTCCAGCACCAAGTTGGTGAAGTCCTGGCTCTTTGAAACCTAGGGGGCTGTGGTGGCCCTACCCCCAAAGGCCATGGTCCTACCCTTTCAGGCTGAGGCAGCTCTGCTTCCACTTCCTTGGTCTCTCCACTTCTGATGATTAATGCCAAAGGCAACCCACTCCACTGGAAAACTTCCTGCCCCCAAAGCACTTGGCTTTCTTGTTCCGTGGGCTGGACAACCTGCTACTCCATTTCGTGCCAGTCTCTTCTACCAATTAATGCCTGAAGGCAACCCACTCCGCCAGGAAGCCACCTACCCAATGGTACCCAGCTTTCTCCTGCTGTCTCTCATGCTGTATACTGGGATCTCTCTGCCAGGGTCTCAGGTCAAGGACGCACTCCACTCGTTTCCATATTTTAGGTATCCGTCAGAGCAGCACTCCACTCCCGGTCCCATATTCTGTTCTGGTTACCTAGTGCCATCCTGATAGGAACATGCCACAAATGTGATGGCCTTAACAAACAGGAGTTAATTCTCTTACAGTTTGGAGGCTTTAAGTCCAAGTTCAAAGTGCCAGGCTCTATGGGCTGGATGAAAGCCCCTCAACCTTAGAGTCCATCTCTGCCTCATGCTCCTGGCAAAGTGGAGGTAGACGTGTTTCTTCACTCAGACAGCTGCTGGCTGCTGAGGCTGACAAGCCCAAGGTGGACAAGTAAAAAGGCACAGTCCCAATGTTACCAAACCACACAGCAGGCCATTAATTTAAGTCCACTACATCCAGCTGCCCAGCCACTCAACCAGGCCCAGCCAAGCTGACACACAAACTGAACTACCACAACCAGAAAGCTGTTTACCTGTTTTATTGACTAGTAGAAGCATTCAACTCTGTGGGTAACAGCAAATTATGGATAACATTGAGAAGAACAGGAATTCCAGAACACTTAATTGTGTTCATGAGGAACATGTACACAGACAAGGAGGCTGCTGTTCAAACAGAACAAAGGGTCACTGTATGGTTTAAAATCAAAAAGGGTGAGCATCTGGGTTATAATCCTTTTGCAATACTTATTCAATCTGTATGCTGAGCAAATAATCTGAGAAGCTGGACTACATGAAGTAGAACATAGCATCAGGATTGGAGGAAGACTCATTAACAACCTGCAATATGCAGACAACACAACCTTGACTGCTGAAAATGAAGGTGTCTTGAAGCACTTACTGATGAAGAGTAAAGAACAGTCTGCAGTATGGATTATACCTCAATATAAAGAAAAAAAATCCTCTCAACTGGACCAATGAGCAGCATCACAATAAATGGAGAAAATAAGGAAATTGATACCATTTACAACAAGCTACCAAGAAAATAAAATACTTGGGAATAAATCTCACTAGGGACACAAAAGACCTGTACAAAGAAAACTATAAAAAACTACTTCAAGAAACCATAAGAGATCTACAAAAATGGAAGAACATACTATGCTCGTGGATAGGAAGACTGAATATTGTGAAAATGTCAATACTACCCAAAGCAATCTATACATTCAATGCAATCCCAATCCAGATCTCATCAGCATTTTTTAGGGATATGGAAAAACCAATCACTAATTTTATATGGAAAGATAAGCAAAGCGCTGTTGAAGAAGAATAACAAAGTAGGAAGTATCACACTCTTGTATCTCAAAACCTACTAAACAGTCACAGTAGTCAAAACAGCTGGTACTGGTACAACAACAGACACACAGACCAGTGGAACAGAAATGAGAACCCAGAAACAGATCCACTGACCTACGGTCAGCTGATTTTTTACAAAGGGCTGAAATCCATTAAATGGGAAGAAATGATCTCTTTAACCAATGCTGCTGGCAAAACTGGGTATTTGCAGAAAAATGAAACAAGATCTGTACCTCACACCTTACACAAAAACTAACTCCAGATGGATCAAAGAGTTAAATGTGAAATGTAAAACAATAAAGTTCCTCAAGGAAAAAATAGGGGCAAATTTAGGGGCCCTGATTTATGACATAAATAGACTATCAAGCATAATGCAAAATGCACAAACAGCAGAAGATAAACTAGATAGATGAATGGGACCTTCAAAAAATTAAATTTTTATGTGCTTCAAAAGACTTCTCCAAAAGAGTCAAAAGAGAACCTACACATTGAGAAAAAAATACTCCCAACAACTATCTGACAAGAGACTCACCTCCAAAATTTATAGAAAACTCCAACATCTCAACAACAAAAAGATTAACAATCCAATTAAAAAATGGGGAGAAGACATGAATAGACACTTCCCCAAAGAGGATATTCAG